GTATGCTAGGCTAGCTGGCGGCTAGCTAGGCATGGGAGGTCGCCAAGGCTGGCTTCTGACACCAATGGGTGCCAGAGGCTGCAGAGGGCCAGGGACTGAGCAGGGACAGGCTCTACAGTGATGTACACATTCAAGATCTGGGGGTGGGGGAGCACGAGGAAGGACGGCAGACTCACACCATTGCTTTATACATTCGTGTGTACGAGAGCGCTTGCATACACCCCCCCACAGACCCCATACTCTCATGCATCCTTCACACTCAAACACATATTCATGCATACGTAACCCGTGTGTTCACAGACACTCAAATACATTCTCACACACGTGTGCACACACACCCACATGCTCACAAATATTCTTATACCCTACATGTTAACACACACACACACACACACACACACACACACACACACACACACACATTCATTCAGCAAGAAGGAATTCAAAGCAGCTATTGGAAGTGCTAGAGTAGAGATGCTGGAAACCTGGATGTGGTAAAAGAGAAGCCACCTAGTGATTCCTCTAAACAGAAACGTTCGAGTCCCAAGTGAGGAAGAAAAGTTAATATATGCACCAATGCTATTCCTCATTTATAAGCTAAACTTTACCATTGGTATGCACTACGGGGGACAAACATATAGTATGTACAAAGACAGGCGCTCTTGTGGCTTCAGGCTCCTACAGGGGGTCTCAGCATACATGCCTCACAAATGGGGCGTGGGGTTCTGTTTTATCCACCCATCTCTGTCTTCTTGCAGTGTGACTTTCAGAAATCCCTTTAGTGAGAGTCTACTGGAAAAAAAAATCAACTGGCATTTATTAAAATTCTCTGTAGTTTGATTTTGTTTTTTTAAAGACAAGGTCTCTCTCACTGTCCTAGAATGGACTCAAATCGTGACTCTCCTTCTGCCTCAGCCTCCCGAGTGTTGCAATAGCTTGCACCACCATGCCGGTCTTCTAAAAAGCAGGTTGGCTGGGAAAGCAACTCTAGATGGACAGTTACCCTCCCTCATCACTCCTTCTGTGATGGATTAATGTATTGTATTGTATTGTATTGTATTGTACTGTACTGTATTGCTTCCTTCATTTCTGGCTTCTATTTTCATTCTCTTCAGTTTTTTGTTTGTTTGTTTGATTGATTGATTGATTTGTTTCATTTCTTAGTTTCATTGAGAATGGTCTCACACTGCAGCCCAGGCAATCACCCTGCCTCAGCTTCCAGAGTGCTGGGATTACAGGCATGAGCTATTTTTGTTCTTGACCCTATCAGGGACAGCACAGTTCTGTTGGGCTGTAGGTTTTTAAGATTTCTGTTTTGTCTTTGAGGTTTCGTGACTCCACACCTGTCTGTTGAAGATTTCTTTTTATTTAGCATGGCCAGAAATTCAATGTTTCAATGAACCAGCTTTTATTTTTGTTCAGACTCTCTATGATTTCTTCACTTTTTTGTTTCATTACTTTTCTGCTTGTCTTAATTACTGTCCCGTTGCTGTGAAGAGACTCCATGACCATGACAACTCTTATAAAAGAATGCTTATAACTTGGAGCTTGCTTAACAGTTTCAGAGATTTAGTCCATTATCATCATGGCAGGAAGCAAACAGGCCTGGCATGGAACAGTAGCGGAGAACTTTGCATCCTGATCCACAAGTTGCAAGCAAAGAGAGATAGAGACACTGAGCCTGCCATGGGCTTTTGAAATCTCAAAACCCATCCCCGGTAGCATACCTCCTCCAAGAAGGCCACACCTTCTAATCCTTCCCTAAGCAGTCCATCTTCCAGGGACTAGACATTTAAATATGAGAACCTATGGGGACAATTATCATTGAAACCACCACACCTTTCTTTATTTCCTACCTTAAATTTTAACTTTCCTTTTTTTTGTTGTTGTTGTTGTTGTTGTTTCGAGACAGGGTTTCTCTGTGTTAACTTTCCTTTTTAAGACTAAAAATTCTCACAAGTATTCTTGGGTTGCATTTTTTAATCTTGATGGTTCATATTATTCTATTTATAGTGGTTTTAATTTCTAATAGTATTCACACACACACACACACACACACACACACACACACACACACACACACCTCACAAACAATAGTATCTCTTTAAGTAGCACTGGCTGTCCTGAAACTCACTCTGTAGATCAAGCTGGCCCTGAACTGACAGAGGTCCACCCATTTCTACCTCCTGACTGCTGGGATTAAAGGCTTGTGCCTCAGTGCACTGCAAGCTTTCTGATCTAAAGCTACCAGGTATTTAGACAAGTGCTCTCTACTATATAAGTAGGAAAGTTCTGCCTTTTTCCTGTTGACATTTACTTTCAGTGATCTATAGCTAGAATATGGCCTCTGAATTTTGTTGAGATGGGTGTTAGAGCACTACAATCAAACACTGTAGTGAGTTTCCTGGCATGGTTGCCAAGGCCCAAACTCAATCCTCTGAAAGATCAGAAAGCAATTTTGACCACTGAGCCATCTTTCCAGCCCTGGATACAGGATGTTATAATGCATTGAACTGATACATTGCAAGCGTGTATGGCACTGTTGGAATCTTCCATGGCTCTTGACTTATAATACTTTGTCAATGACCAAGAAACGAGCATTCAAAATATTTCCCCATGCGGGTGGATTTGTCTATTTTTCTTAATGCCCCTCTCATTTCTCTTGGGAACATATCCAGGCTCTGTTGGTGTTTATATACATTATTTCTTTCCTGTAACATTAATATTGTGTCATTATGAAGTGACCGTCTGTATATCTGATAATGCCTTCTTCTGAAGGTATGAAGAATATCCTACAGCATAGCAGCCCCCAGCTTAGTCCTGCCTAGAGACCAGGTACTCATTCTCACAGCAGTGCTTAGCACCTCTGGGTGTCAAGGGAGTACATGATGGTTGTCTGGAGATGCTCCCTCAACGAACTCTTGTTATTCAAGGCCCAGGTTTATCAACTCAGTGTGAGGCAGTTTCCTTCTCTTGGCAACTGATGATGAGTTGTCTTGTGGAACCGTGCCCATGCTCCCTTTTGGCAGAATGAAGCAGAAGAAAATTGAAAAGCTAGTAATTAAGTGTTGAAGTCTCTTCGGGTCATTTCAATCCGGCTGAGTGCACTGTGGTTTCACCCGGACAAGACAGTGTGTCCTGAGGGAGTCTCATTGGCTACAGTCACTGTCCAGCAGACGTCTGTCAGCAAGCAACATTGTACATATATCCTGCACCCCTCTTGCGCTCCTCAAATGCTCTTAGATTTCTTCCCTGTAGGCCGAAGTTCTGGCGACCTCTAGCGGCAGCTTTCCTGCCCTGCACGGTGACGGGAGCTTAATGCTGTTCTTCTACCTGGCCTGCGAGGCTGGCATCCCAAGTGTCTGGCAAAGATCCTAACTTGTGGAAGCAGAGAGAAACACTCTTCCTTGCCCTCTACCCACCGTATGCCTTTCAGAAATCCCTTGACATCGCTGCCCATCATGCTTCGCTGTACCCAGACAGTCTACCCAGCCCAGGCTCTCCCCAGCCTAGGAAATACTTTTGAAGGTTCATGATTTCTTTGGAGTGGGTGTGACCATTAATTCCTTGAATAGGATGAGAAGGACAGATAAGCACTCCCCTGTGCTTAGGAAGGAAATATCAGGGCCTGAGGATATAGCTCAGTTGTCAAGAGTGCATTCAGGAAGTCTTAGTTTCAAGCACCAGTACTGCATAAACCAGTTGTGGTGACCTGTAACTCAGAGTGGGGATAGAGGCAAGAGGATCAGAAATTCAAGGTCAGTAGTCTTGGGAGATAGCTCATTCTGTAAAGCACTACATAATCATGAGGATTCACATTTGATACCAAGAACCCACATAAAAAGTCGGGTGTGGTGGTGGGCATTTATAATCCCAATGCTGGGGAAGCAGAACCAGATGGATTCCTGGGACCCTGGCCACAGCCTAACAGACAAGACCCAAGTCCCAGTGAGAGACCTTGTCTCAAAACAGAAGGTGGGGGTTGAAGAGTTGCTTGCCTAGCATGGTGAAGCCCTGGGTTGGGTCCCAGCACACAACACCTGAAACCCGGAGTGGTGGCACAGGCTTGCAATCCCAGCACTTGGAAAAGAGATCAGAAAAGGACTCAAAAGTTAAACGTCTGGGGGCTAGAGAGATGGCTTAATGGTTAAGAGAACTGACTGCTTTTCCAGAGGACCAGGGTTCAATTCCTACATCTACACGGAAGCTCACAGCTAACTGGAACTCCAGTCCCAGGTGATCCAGTTCCCTCTTCTGGACACTATGCACAAGATTCATATATTCATATATTCAGACAGAACAAGTGATTCTTTTTAAAAGTTCAAAGTTATCCTCAGCTACATAGCCAGTTTGAGGCCAGCCTGATCTTTGTGAGGCACTATCTAAAAAAAGAAAGTAAGAGAGAAGGATAGAGAGAGAGAAAGAAGGAAAGAAAGTTTGGTGGCTTCTGAGGAACACTTGAGGTTGACCTCTGACCTCTGGCCTAAGTAGGCACACAAATACAAAAGTTCGAGGTCATCCTCAGCTAAGACCACATTCAATACCATGTCTCACATTCAAGACCAACTTGGCCACATGAAATCCTGCATAAATAAGTAAACACAAAAGAATTAAAAATAAATTAAATAAGTGAACACATAACTAAGGCTCCATGAGTCATCCTCATAGAAGCAAAAGGAAAAGAGAATTCTGGAGTCAGTGGTGCCAAAGATGACTGAGCCCCAAGACCT